TTTTTTTTTCCTTACCTCTGGTTTCTACCTCCTCTTTTCACAGAAACAGCAGTGCATTAGACATACAGTTTTTTGTTTGTTTGTTTTTATTATTTGAGTGTACCGTCAAATCAGATCTGACTGGTACAGGCGGAGATTGTCCCTCCTTCCCTGGCAGAGCATCTGGTGGATTCGAACCGTGCGCCTCTGGGATTGTAGTTGCAGCTCCTTGCCACTAGGCTACCAGAGCTCCCCTAGACATAGTTTTATGATTTGCTTTTCCAGCTTAATAATATTTAAAAACAAATTATCTTGCCATGTAAAATATTCTACAACATTATATTGGCACAGCTGTATTTATCTCTTGAGTGTTAACATAATTTGACATCCTGTATCATTGTCCATAAAGCTTGCATTTGTGGTAATCTTTAAAGCCATAATCAATACCATGGTACCTAAATCTTTGTTCATATTTATTTTCTTTTAGTTCATACCTGCAAGTTGATCTGTAACCTTGAAGAAAGGTTATAGACTATAATTTATAATACATGTTATGAAGTTACCTGACAGAAAGATAGCTGTAATTTTTTAAACTTACTAATAAAAATCTCTCCTTCCTTGCACCTATCTGAATACTGGGGATGGTGGAGAAGCAAGAACCCTACTACCTTAAGTCGGGAAAATACTTATTTTTAGTTTTTTATTTAAAAATGATTGAGAGTAAAGCTTCTCCCACATGACAGTTGATGATGTATGCATTTCATAAAGAATGGATTATATCTTCACATGTAATTTTTTTAATTTAATGATCTAAGATTTTATTATATACTAAAATTGCCGGTTTGATGTAATTTCTTTATAATTAATTTTTAATGTTTGTGGTTTATGTCTTGAAAACCCAAAAATACTAAGTTATTAGGAAGTTTATATCATACTTTGTAGTTAATTAACTTGCACTTAGCCTTTCCATACATTTAAGGTCAGATATTTGATAATATTTTTCACTAATATTTCTTTTTCTAACATGTAAATTACCTTTAAATTTTATTCTCAGTTATTATAAGGAAGACCTCTAATTTAATTCTTGTTGATCCTCCCACTGCCCTCCCCCCGCAATGAATTGTCTCAGCATCATACATGGAGTAGTTTATTCTTTCTTCAGTGTTTTATTTTTCTGGAGGGGAGGGGACAAGGGAAAGCCTGTGTGGTGGAGTATTTACATATGAGGTGACTGTGACTTGTGTTTAAGGTTTGAAAAGGCATCTGCAGAGTACCAGGAGCACCTGTGTGCTATGACAGGTGTTGACTGCTGCATCTCCGGCTTTGACAAGTCAGTTCTCACATTGGCCAACTCTGGGCGTAATAGTGCCAGTCCCAAACATTCTCTCAATGGTGAGCATTCAGAACTTAAATTAGACTTGAAGTCAGCTAGTTATTTCTGATCATTTTATTGTGTATTTTGGGATTCTGATGCTCTCTGAAATATATAAAATTGCTCTAGGTCTTTCTTTTGTTTTTACTTTGTAAAATACTTTTACTTAGGTGAATCTAGGAAAACTGTGCTGTCCAAACCAACTGACTCTTCCCCTGAAGTTATAAATTATTTGGGAAATAAAGCCTGTGAGTGCTACATTTCAATTGCTGATTGGGCTGCTGTACAAGACTGGCAGAATGCTATCCATGACTTGAAAAAGAGTACCAGTAGCACTTCCCTCAACCTAAAAGCTGATTTCAACTATATAAAGTAAGAATTTTTTTTTCAATGGAAAAGAAATGATACTTAAGCAAATGAAGCCATTCCTCCCCCACCTCCCCCATTAACTTTCTCAATAGTAGGAAAACACAAACTCTGAAACTCATAATTCTGGCACAAAATGGTTGCAGTTCTAATACTTGTACTCTTATAAAACGACTTAAACAGGAAACCAGCTGTTATAGGTGAGGAAGCTATTTCTGCGATGGGAAAACAGAATCAGAGCTATTGAGTGAGTCATTTGGAATTGATTCTTAAGACCTATATATACTTTATAAAGTACCCCAGAATGCATAGGGAAAAAATGTGTCTGTGAATTAGAAACAATGACAAGTCTTTGTTCTTGCTTGAATATATCCTAAAGAGGACAGAATTTATGACCATTTTAAATTAAACTTTCTTATTGTTTCTCTGTGCATTTGCTAGCTCTTGAATTCATAATTTTTAGTACCCACTATGTCTCAGCCCCTTAACTTATAGTGAGTAAATGTATATGGGTTCTTCCTTATTGTACACTTATTATGTGCCAGACAGAGAGATAGAACAGTCTAGAAAAGATACATGAATTCTGATTCTTGAGAGATTAACTTTAAAGGTCCGTCATACCTTTCCAAGTGCTTTTTGAGAACACATTGAGGGAACAGTGCTTATGTAATGATGGACTGGGGATGTTCTGGAAATGGCCAGGAGGCCAGCATGGCTAGGTCTGGGGAATAGAAGATTAAAGTTAAAGAGGTAGCTCAGAGCAGTGGGAAGGACTTTAATTTTTACTCTGAGGAAAATAGAAAATCTTGGAGCTACTTGAATAGAAGAGTAGTTATAGATCATGTTTGTAATATATGTTACTGTATACATATTAGTTACAGACAATAAAGGTAAATATTATTTCATACACAATCCAGCATATATCAGTAACAGCAAACTTCAAATTACAAGTGGATACATAAGCCGACAGGCATGACAACAGATTCATGTGGGCAATTGAAAGGGGCTGCACCCATACTCATACATTGAATTGGCAAGTGATATTTATACATGCTGTAAATATATCCAAGTATATAGTAGAAGCATTGTGGGAGGGAATATCTCTGGTGGCCTAGTGGCAAGAAGCTGAGCTTGTCCACCTCTGAGAACCTGCTGGCAGGTCAGCTATGGGTTGATTCCTAACACAGCCATAACCATGCCAAAACTCCTGAGGGAATGAGTCACTGGTGTGAGCCTCAGGACTGTAGTCTCAGGATATCAAAGTCCGTTTGTAAACACAATATTCTTTGGCTGTCACTGATGAGTAGTGATGGGAGACTTAAAAGCTTACGAGTAGCTATCAAAGAAACGATTTTTCTCTTTGTGCCTGGAGAAAGGATGAAAAAAATAAAAATTACATGGAAACAATCAGTCCGTAGTACTAATGGACGTGAAAAATCTCAACTTCCATTACCCTGGGACCAGCATAACTAGTTGGTTATTATTCTGCTGGCATTTGAAACAGCATCACAACCACCCATAAGATAACCCAGCACAACAAACTGACAGACAGGTGTTGTACTGCTAAGTACAAATACTATACAAGCAAGCATATACGCACCTAAGCAGTAAAATAGGAGCAGTATGCAACTCCCCCAGTTCAGTGAACTGGACAGGTGTTGTACCTCTAACAACAAATCTTAGAAACAATCATATATGTAAATATCATGGCACAGGACACCCCTCTGAGGCCCCATTTTTCAGAGAAGTTGAAAGGGAAGAAATGGGTTTCAGAGAGAGGGAGCTCAGGAGTGAAAGGCGGCAAGGTTAGAAAAGAAGATTGCAATTCTAGGATAAGAGACCTATGTGGTGCGTGTGCTTTATTTAAGTAATAAGGTAACATGCGGGGAGTTTGGTGGCTGCTAGAGAGAGCTGGGTACTCTCCTTTCCTGCAGAGGTTTGCTGTCTATGGTTCGGGCAGTGCTGGCCCTGACGAACAGACGACAACACAGGAAAAGGAGACATGAGGGGATGCTGAAATAGATGTCGACAGCTGAGATTTTTTTTTTATTTGCTACTCTAGGTTTGATGAAAGTTATACAAGTGTTTAGGTCTCATTCATAGGGTCACTATGAGTCATCTACAACTTGATGGCACTTAATAATAACAACCACAACTCTAGTTTTGTTTTAGTGCTGATTAAGATAGTAATTAATTCTTCAGAGTAAAAATGGTTGCGTGGAAGAAACTATTTCAAAAGGAAACTGTAGCTATACTGTATTGGTCTCTCCCCAACTCCATAGAATATGTTCTGTTGTTTTGAATGGTGCCACAAACTTTCCTAGAGTGTAATACAAAATCAGCTAACCAATATCTTAATTACAGGTCACTAAGCAGTTTTGAGTCTGGAGAATTTGTAGAATGTACTGAGCAATTAGAATTACTGCCAGGAGAAAATATCAGTCTACTTGCTGGAGGATCAAAAGAAAAAATAGGTATTTGAGAAAAGTTAAATTATTTTATGGATAAGTTATTTTTAAAATTTGGGTTTAGTATTGAATATGGCTTAGAAAAGTCTGGAGGTTATTGTGCATTATTTTGGTGAAATGTTCCATATGAAGTAGTAAATTTAGATCTGGTTTATTTATGCTTGATAATGTTTGAGCTAAATATTTTTTGATGTTTTGAAGTCTTGGTTGATAATCTTTATGTGGCTTATTAACTTCATCACAACTGGAACATTTTGAAATTGTATTCTGAAAGTTAGTATTATATCTCTGTAAATATCAATTTATTAGATTCAGTAACTTTCCAGTGTAGGTTGACTAAAAGATTTTTGATCCTTTGAAGCCAACAGTATGGGGGGTGCACATTTTATTAAGCCCTCAGAAGTCCTTGTTAAATGGTAATTCTTTTAAGTACTGCTCAGGTATTTGATGTCATATGCATAAAAGTAAACTAATTTTCTGATGTGTATTTATGTTCTGTAGATATGAAAAAACTGCTTCCTAATATGTTAAGTCCTGATCCAAGAGAACTTCAGAAATCGATTGAAGTTCAGTTGTTGAGAAGTTCTGTTTGCTTGGCAACTGCTCTAAACCACATAGAGCAAGATCAGAAATGGCAGTCTATAACTGAGTAAGTTTCATGGTTGGGAGTTAATAGCAATTGTGTATGTCAATGTGTTAGCTGTTTCTGTGCACTTTACTCAGAGAGTGTACTGGTTTGTTACAGCACTAATCCTGGTAGCTTCAATTTGATTGTGGATATCTTTTCATAGTGTGAGTGCCACTTGCCTACATGCTGGGGTCAAAGCCAAGGAAATGTAAAAATCCCTAAAAGCAAAAGTCTATACTTGCTTGTTTCATTTTAACTAAAGAGCAGGCTGCTTTTGTTATTTCTACCCTCATTTCATGCCACTTTATTATTTACAGCCTTTTCAATACTTTATCCATCAATAAGTTGCTTGATCTCACTTATTGGTTAACAGTAGATATTTTGTTTCAGCAACATGGTAAAGTACTTGAAGCAAACCTCCCGCATTGCAATTGGGCCTCTGAGACTTTCAACTTTGACGGTATCCCAGTCTCTTCCAGTTCTGAGCACTTTACAGCTGTATTGTTCATCTGCTTTGGAGAACACCGTTTCTAACAGGCTTTCAACAGAGGTGTGTATATGTGTGTTTTTAAAAGAAACTTGTTTCTAACACTGGTATAGGGGGAAAAAGGGTTTTGTGGGGTTTTTCCAAAATGGCACTTTTGGTTTGAAGTACATCGCAAATCCAGGTATCTTTTATGAATTTAAAACTAATTTTATTTAAAATGCATGGGCCTAAGGGGTGGGAAATTAATTATTTCATTTTTTTTTTTTTTATTATTTCATTCTTGACTTCAATATTCCTTGAAGAATAGCACTAAATACACCTTTTATAAGAGGTTAAAAAGGTTTTTTTTTTATTTTCAAGGTAGTAAGGTTTAAGCACATTTTCCTTGTTGTTTTGTACCATTGAGCTGGAACTGGCCCTTAATTAACCCTCCAGTGGGTTTTCAGAGGCAGTTAACTGCACAAGAGGAGATTGCCTATCTTTTTCCCACAGAGCAGCTGGTGGATTTGAACCACATGCCTTCGAGATTTCAGGGCAGCTTCTTGCCTCTAGACTACCAGAGTTGTTTTATATTTGACCAAAATAAAGGTTCCTCTCCCCCTAAGGTATAAAGTTAAACCAAGGATAGGGCCTTTCCAAGGGAAAGGGAGATTACAAAATAGTAGTAGTTATATAGTTCTGAGATGGGTTTGTTTTTGTTTTGTTTTTAATAGTAGTAATATAATTTTGAAGGTTTTCTTTAAACTTCAGCTTCTGCTTTATGGTGAATTTTCACTGCTATTTAAAAACTATTGTTATAAGTATACTGATAACATTTTGATGAACTGTATATGGCCTTTGAAGAGCTGTAGAGTTTTATTTTGAAGTTAAATTATGCTTCCTACATGATTAAAGGGGAGAGTTTAACAACAGTGTTGTTGTTAAATGCCATCTAGTCCTAGGCGACTTATGAACGAAAGACCTGAACACTTGTATAACTTTCTTCGTTTCTCCAAGTTCATAGGGTTTTCAGAGGCAAGCTATTTCGGAAGTGGATTCCACTCCTGCTTCCAGGCTTGTTTTAATTGGGGAGCTCTACCAACACTGTCCACCATGGGTGACCAGTATTGCATTTGGCACATCAGGGTCACAGTGTTCAGCATCACAGCAATCATGAGTTAGCTCTGTATAGCAGTTCGACAGACCAGTGCTATACCACCTAGAAGAATGTTTTACCAAAAGCCTAGAAAAGTGTACGCTTAGCTGGTTTATGGGGGCCTGGAGTCTTGGGGCTCATAAGCACCTACTCTAATTAAAGTCATCTTACAGACTTAATAAGGACCTTATTTTACAATAAGACCCTCTTGATTTTCTGTGTCAGGACTGTCTTATTCCGCTCTTCAGTGAAGCTTTGCGTTCATGCAAACAGCATGATGTGAGGCCATGGATGCAAGCATTACGATACACCATGTACCAGAGTCAGTTGTTGGAGAAAATTAAAGGTAACTAGGTTTTGTTTCTTACTGTTTTTTTGGTTTTTTTAATATGCTGTATTGAGTTATAACTTACATATTTTAAATGTACAGTTTAGAGTTTTGGCAAAGATAAAATAAATACCTTTGTGTAACCACAAATACGGTTCACATGGAGAACATTTCTTTGACAACCCCTTCCTGTCCCCATCCCCTCCTGCCAGTCTTCTTGCTTAACCACATCTGCCTTAGACCTTGTTTGCTTCCTATCTCTGTAGTTTAGTGTCTGTTAAATTCTTATGAGTGGCGTCTTGTAGTACATACCTCTCTGTCTTTTCTTAGTTAGCATTTTGCATATGTCAGTAATGTAGTCTTTTTTTATTGCTGAGTTGAAGACTGTCAGTATATTGGACACTCACTCTTAGTAATGTATAAAGCTGTTCTTTTAGTGGACATATTTCTTTTGAGTAAATACCTAGGCATGCACTCAAGTTAAGTCATGTGGTTTAACTTTTAAAACAGTTCAACAGAGTCTTGTAAAGTGTTTATTACATATTTTACATTCCTCTTGGCAACTTTGCATTCGCTCCACATTCTTGCTGTTGTTTGGGGTTTAGGGTATTGGAGTGGGTGTGCCCTAGTGTCTCATTGTGGAGCATCTTGTCACTTGCTTATAGTCATTGTATGTCTTACTTTGTAAAATGGTCCAGTCTCTTCCCTTTTTTTTTTTTAAAAAAAAAAATTGGTTTGTCTGGTTCATAGAGACAGAAGCCTTTCTGAGAAATACTGTGACTGTTAAGTCTGTCATGCTAAAGAAATGCTAGCACTTTATTTTCTGAAATAGAGTAGCTGGAGTTAACTGCATGGATATGATTTCTACATTTCAAATAAAATAAATGCTAGGATATGAACCTGAACAGGGATTACGGACAACTGTATTGCTAAGCAGACTTTTGAGTTTTGGAGCCCTAGTCCAATATTTGCACATTACAGGAGCTAAGAGGGAATGATTAAGGAGCCTGTGGTATAGTGGTTAAAGTGACTGCAAACCAAAAGGTCATCAGTTAAAACCTACCATTGGCTCCACTGAGGGGAAGAACTGATGATCAGCTCCTGTAGAAGGTGACCGTTCTCTAGCTCTGTCATACAGGGATAACGTGACGTAGAATTTGCTGGATGACACACAACAGTGTGTGCAAGTTACTGAATGTTTGTATCGCTTTCTTTTTGCATCATACTCTAGCCCTAAGAGTCTTGTAAAGAATCATGTGCTTAGACAGGGTATGTGAAAACCTGGCATATAATAAGGCTTTAAATACCATTTCCCTTCCTTCCTACATCAAACTAGTTTCAGAGAAGAAAGGAAAATATTAGTAACTCAGTTGTTACATTCAGAGATACAAATCCATGCTATTTTTGTCTGTTTAATAAATATTTATCAAATACATTCTTTGTGTCAAATACTTTGATCAGTATTGGAATACAGTGATGAAAAGACATTTTCTGTATTCCTAGTAATAAAGGAGTTCTAGAATCTTATCAGGAAAAAATTGACATTGAACAAGGAGCGACGTATTGTGCCGAATGAAAGCATGCATGCATGGCGCTAAACAAACGTAAAAGCATCTGATTCAACTTTAGAACAAACTTAAGTTAAACTAAGACCTGGGGCGTGGGGGTGGGTTATAAACTGAGACCTGAGTGAGGGAGGTGGGGATGAGACAGAAGGCAGACTTTGAAAAAACATCACATGTAAAGGCCAGAGAAAATAATGAAAATTCCTTAGCTGACTCATCAGTTCACCCTAGAGAGAGTGGGTGGAGATGAAACTGGCTGAGATTGAGATTAGAATGGAATGCAAGGCATTGGTGCTGTACAAGCCAAATTAAGGAGTCGGGGCTTTTTTCAGACAGCAATGGGAAACTCTTAAAAAGGCTGAATATACACATTTCATAGGATGTTACGGGTTAGAGAAGGATAAGATCAAGGGAGAAAGAACCTGTCCAGCTAAGTACAAAGCTAAAGGTAGTGAAGATAGTAGCAGTGGGGACAGAGTAAAGGGGCGAGGTGGGGAGTATGAAGAAGAAGTCTAGAATGACTGTCAAGCTTTTTTGGCAGCCAGATTGATCAGAACGCCTCTTGCTCCAAAGGAGAGAGCAGGAGGTTGGTGGAAAGTGAGTTCAGCCTGGCATAGGTGGAAGTACCCTTAAACTGTCTCAGATGTCAGGTCCAGGCTACAGAAACAGATGGTGGAGTGACCAGCATGTATGTGGTGATCAGAACCACAGAAATAGATGCTATTATCCAGGGAGAGTATATATGGAGATGAGAAGAATCTGGGACCAACCCAAGAGAACGTCACCATTAATGAGTGCATAGTGGAAGAGAAGGACACTGAGGAGACATCGGATAGGGAGTCTGAAAACTAGTAGAGAATGACAGATGGAGAAGGGATATGGGCCAGCCTTACATCAGTCCTGCTCTTTGGTGTAGATGCTTTATGAAGAAGCAAAATGTTAATTTCTTGCAAGGAATGACTGTTTTCCTGACTTTATTTATATATTTATTTAGCATGTATTGTTCATTGTACGACAAGCACTGTGATCTTTGGGAGGGACTTGGCAAGGGAGTAAATGAGTTGTCTGTCTGTGGAGGTGTGGTGAGAAGAAGGGAACAGTTGGGGAAGAATTTTATTTTTTTGAGTGTATGCCATACCAGCTGGGATACATAAAGTCAGGACTAATTAAATAAATGTTTTCTTTCTTCTCTAGAGCAAACAGTTCCAGTTAGAAGCCACCTGATGGAGTTAGGCTTAACAGCGGCAAAATTTGCTAGAAAACGAGGAAATGTGTCACTTGCAACAAGGCTGCTGGCACAGTGTAGTGAAGTCCAGCTGGGAAAGACCACCACTGCTCAGGATTTAGTCCAGCATTTTAAAAAGCTGTCAACTCAGGGGCATATGGATGAAAAATGGGGGCCTGAACTTGATATTGAAAAAACCAAATTGCTGTATACAGCAGGTTAGTAAAAACAGTGGGCAGCACATGGCAGTAATGAAAGTGAGCGTGACTTGTCTCTGGTAATGGTTCACAGCAGTAATAGGAAAACTGCTTATTTGCAGCTTATTTGAAACTTATAACTGACCTTACAGACTTTTTTTTTTTAAATTTTATTAATAGTGTACCAAAGTAAGAAAACTCTCTAGTTAAGTTTTTAGAAGTTGATTACAGTGAAGTAATATCAGTCCTCTGGTTTTCTGTAGGTCAGTCAACACATGCCATGGAAATGTTGAGTTCCTGTGCCATATCTTTCTGTAAGTCTGCCAAAGCAGAGTACGCAGTTGCTAAGTCAATTCTGACACTGGCTAAATGGATCCAAGCAGAATGGAAGGAAATTTCAGGGCAGCTCAAACAGGTTTACAGAGCACAGCAACAGCAGAACTTCACAGGCCTTTCTAATTTGTCTAAAAACATACTCACTTTAATAGAGCTACCAACTGTTAATACGATGGAAGAAGAATATCCTCGGATTGAGAGCGAATCTACAGGTTGGATTTTTAAAAATATATTTATTTGAGATGTAATTGTCATCCTGACTTAAAATTTACAAGGTTAAACAGTGGTGGGGGTGGGGGTGGCCAAAAAACCAGAATGCCCATCAAACTCAATGTGTGGAGTCAGAACTGACTCGAAACTGACCCTCCATTGGGTTTCTGAGTCTGTAAATCGCATGGGAGGAGATTTCTCCATCTTTTCTCCCTCACAGCCATTATTGGATTTCAACCGCCAGACAGGCACCATCCTTAGTTTAAAATCACGACTCCCTGCGGGCTGGGCTGCTAGAGCTATACTGACTTTAATTTGCATCAAAGCCTTGTCTCTGAAAATTTAGTGTACTATTTCCTAGAAGTAACTAAAATGTACTTTTTAGTATCTGAATGTCACTGTGGAAGTTACTGAACTATCTTCCCAGACCATTATTTCCAGCCTCCCAGGTTCAAGTTGGTTTTGTGGAGTTAGCTGTTTTTGTTGGCAATAAAGTTGCATCCTAGAGATGTAAAACATCAGTTCTCTCTAGGAGAAGCAACAAAGAATGTAGCGGACTCTGTTCCCATCATCTGACAGAGCACACACAGCAGCTACAGAGAGAGACAGTTTTCATGTTCTGCTACCAGTGCTGGTAACCAAAAGTGGAAGTCAAAGGGCATGGCACACTGCTCTAGTGGTGCAGCGGGTTAAGTGTTGGCATGCTAAGCTAGCAGCTTGGAGGACACCCACCAGCAGTTTCTCAGAAGGAAGATGAGGCAGTTTACTTATGCAGAGCTTTGGAAATCTTATAAGGCAGTTAATTCTGCTCTGTCCTGTAAGGGCTACTGTGAGTTGGAACAGACTTGATGGCTGTGAGTTTGTCTATCTCAAAGTGATTATTTTATACAGAATACAGCAAATGAAATACTAAATCTATGTGAACTTGATGAGTATCCCTTTTAAAAAATGGTTTTAAACCACCATTACATAATAGTTTTACATCAGTTTCCACACAAATGAAGTGAACAATATTTGTATATATTCCACTAGTAAGATGTCCCTGTGTAGCTGAGGTGTCTTCTTCACTGGTACGTTTTGTAGGCTAGCAGTTCTTCATTCAGTGAAGAGTTGAGTGCCTGTATGACAGGCAATGTCCTATTTTTAGAAATTGGGATATAGTTAATCTTCTGGATTGGCTATGAGAAAATACCTTAATTTTATTGTAAAATGTGGAGGTTTAATTTCTTAATCTTGCCAAGTATTTGTAATGTATGTGTTGATAGTCATAAGGAGGAATCTCTTGACATCGTCAAGGTTTATATTGGCAAATGGCACTATCGCAGGTTCTTTGCCTCAACTATTCATTTCCTGCATCTTTGATTTAATGAGATTGTATACATACCACCTGAGTGTTAATTTTTGCCAAAATGTTTAATCTGAATATAATCACGAGGAACTAGCCAGTCGAAACCAGAGTGCAAGATCTTTCCCAACCCATCTGACACCTGAGCTGTTGATAAAGATCCTTGTCATTTGATAAAGATCCTTGTCATGAAAGACACAGATGGGTTTGATTGGGTGATAATCTAAACTTATTTGAGAGGGTAAGTGATTTGTTTCACCTCTCAGAAAAGTGTAATTCAAATTTATGCCTTACCAGAATGGTATACTGTAATGATGGCGGTAGATGATAAAGAGGTACAGTGTTTTTGGCATTGCCAACAGAATCCTGTGACTATAATGCTGCTGATGCATTTCTTTTTTTTCCCCCCCTCCCCTTTTTCCTGGCAGTGCACATTGGAGTTGGAGAACCTGACTTCATTTTGGGACAGCTGTATCACCTGTCTTCGGTACAGGCACCTGAAGTAGCCAAATCTTGGGCAGCCTTGGCTAGTTGGGCGTATAGATGGGGCAGAAAGGTGGTTGACAATGCCAGGTAGGGGTGTGTCATCATCATGAAGATTTTAAATGTTTGCGCGGTAATAAAATATTGGTAGCCAAAATACTGATGATGTGTTTGTTTTTATAGTCAGGGAGAAGGTGTTCGTCTGCTACCTAGAGAAAAATCTGAAGTTCAGAATCTACTTCCAGACACAATAACTGATGAGGAAAAAGAAAGAATATATGGTATCCTCGGACAGGCTGTATGTCGTCCAGCAGGAATTCAGGCAAGGAGAGCATGATGCGGTGTTTAAAGGAAATAGCATTGAGGTCATAGTTTTAGTGAAAGGATTTTGAGGACATTGATAACTTTTGCTTGATTAAAAATGTTAAATAAGGTTTAAGCAGTTTAAAAATTCTTTTAAGGTGAAAGTGATTTATACTCTTTCTAAGAATGTAATTCCTTGGGAACTTAATTTCCCTAGAGTCTTGTTAAATGCAGTTCAAGTTCATTTTATGTTAATTAAGTTTTCTCTTTTAATTGAGATTGTGATCACAAATTAGGTTCTCATTCCTGGTTAGCTGTAAGTTAGGAGCATTTTGGGAACATTTAAAATGTGCTGATGTTGAGGCACTATCCAGAGGGTTCCTTTTTTTTTTAAATTCTTCTTGTGTACTGTCAATTCGGATCCTACTGGCATGGGAGGAGGTTGCTCTTCCTTCTCCAGTGGAGCATCTCGTGGATTCAAACCACACGCCTTCAGGATTGCGACGCAGCTTCTTGCCACTTGGCCACCAGAGCTCCCGATGGGGGCCTTTGTCAGTTATTCTAATAATAGAAATGCCAGAGTTGAAGCTACATTAGTTTATCTGTAAGACTCACAGATCTCTTCCTCCTACCTCAGAGAAAAGGAGTAATTCTTGTCTTCAAAAAATGTCACTTATTCTCTTATTTTCTTTAGGATGAAGATATAACTCTTCAGATAACGGAAAGTGAAGACAATGAGGAAGATGATATGGTTGATGTTATCTGGCGTCAGTTAATATCAAGCTGCCCGTGGCTCTCAGAACTTGATGAAAGTGCAACCGAAGGAGTTATCAAAGTGTGGAGGAAAGTTGTAGATAGAATCTTCAGCCTGTATAAATTGTCTTGCAGCGCATACTTTACTTTCCTTAAACTCAATGCAGGACAGGTAGGCAGCACAGTGTTCTGTTTTTTAAAACTTTACTTATTTTCTAGTAGAGCACAGTCGATACTCTGAGTTGTGATTTCTTATTTCTACCTTAGATTCCATTAGATGAAGATGACCCTCGGCTGCATTTAAGTAATAGAGCAGAGCAGAGCACTGATGATGTGATCGTGATGGCAACCTTACGATTGTTGCGCTTACTGGTTAAGCATGCTGGAGAGCTCAGGCAGTACCTGGAGCATGGCTTGGAGACCACACCTACTGCCCCATGGAGAGGTGAGTCTCTTAAAAGAATGTTTCTATAGCGGTTAATTCTGGGTTGTTGTTGTCGAGTGCTGTTGAGTCACAGGAGACTCATAGCGACCCTATGAAGGAGAGTCCTCAATGCTTGGGTGTCTCTCATCCTCTCTCCAGGTTCATAGGGTTTCTGGAGGCAAGCTATTATGGAAGTGGATGCCACTCCTCCTTCCAAGCTTGTTTTAATCGGGGAGCTCCACCCCACTCTCTGTCCGCATTGGGTAACCAGCCATTAACGCATTTGACACGTCAGTGTCACAGTGTTCAGCCTCACAGCGACCACAAGTGACCGCTGTACAGCGACTTGTACACCAGGGCTATACGACCTAGAGGAATGTCTGAACAAAAAATATGAAAGACTGGCCAGAGGGCCACGGATTAATTCTGGGTAGGGTATATAAAATAATTATTATTGTGCATAGCTTTTTGTTATTGAAGGAGAATTTTTTAATAACGTAAATATTTTTCTTTTTCCCTGAAGGAATTATTCCACAACTATTCTCACGCTTAAACCATCCTGAAGTATATGTACGCCAAAGTATTTGCAACCTTCTGTGCCGTGTGGCTCAGGATTCTCCACATCTCATATTGTATCCTGCGATAGTGGGTACCATATCTCTTAGCAGTGAATCCCAGGCTTCAGGTATGGAATATGAAAATTCTGATACTTTAATTACAAACTATCTCACAAATGATAAATTTAGGTAAATTTTTTGTTTGTGTTCTTTGTGTCAGTTGTTTGTAATGTTTTCAGTCATAGTAACTGACAGTTCATTGAGGGAGAGAACCTGCTATATGCTTGACACTATGATGTGGGCATTACCTGTTGTCTTCAGCCCTCAGAATACCTCCTTACGTCTTGGAACAATTGAATAACTCCCTCGGGTTTATTTATTTTTTTTTTAATATTTTTTATTTTTATTTTATTTTATTATTTTTGTGTGCGTGTACCGTCAAATCACATCTGACTGGTACAGGAGGAGATTGCCCCTCCTTCCCCGGCAGAGCATCTGGTGGATTTGAACCATGCACCTCTGGGATTGTAGTTGCAGCTTCTTGCCACTAGGCCACCAGAGCTCCCCTACTCCCTCGGGTTTATTGAGATGAATGAATGGCAGAGGAGGATTGAAATCTCCTGTCCATATGGTTCCAGTGTCCTGGCTCTGGCTGGTAGAATACATTGTTTGATGGAGACACATTATCTTGTCTACATCTATCTTCTATTGACTTCTATTAATAGCTGAAATAGCTCAGTTTATTACAAAGATAACACCATGCTTGATCTCTGAGCAGTTGATACACTTTTGAAATAGACTAGATGGTGATGTTTTTCCTTAACTAGCATGTGTACATGGAAGAAACATAACTTATTCTCTCCCCTTTATAGGAAATAAGTTCTCCTCTGCAATTCCTACTTTACTTGGAAATATTCAAGGAGAAGAGTTGCTGGTGTCTGAATGTGAGGGAGGAAGTCCTCCTGCTTCTCAGGATAGCAATAAGGATGAGCCTAAAAGTGGATTGAATGAAGACCAAGCCATGATGCAGGACTGCTACAGCAAAATTGTTGATAAACTGTCCTCTGCAAACCCTACGATGGTGTTACAGGTAAAAAAATGAAGACCTAAAAACTTTATGTTTAATTTTAGTATTTTATTAATTTTGTGTGTGTACCATCAGATCGGATCTGACTGGTACAGGAGGAGATTGTCCCTCCTTCTCCAGCAGAGCATCTGTTGGATTCGAATTGCTAAACTCTGGGATTGCAGTATAGCTTCTTGCCACTAGGCCACCAGAGATCACCTAAAAGTTTCTGTTTAAAACAATTTTATTATAACCCTATTACCGTCAGAAAAGCTCCTCTACAAACACTGTTCTAGGACTATTTGAGGAGCTTACCTTTGGAATAATTATATTAGTTCTCTTAGCCCATGTTGATAGAAGCCCAGGTTCCTGGATTCTGTGATCGTTGGTGGACCTGTACTTTCTGTGCAGGACCCACTGGACTGGGTTGCTGCTGTAGCTGGGTCTCTTCGGCTGTGCCCTGTGTGCAGGTCCAGATGCTGGTGGCTGAGCTGCGCCGGGTCACCGTTCTGTGGGATGAGCTCTGGTTGGGAGTCCTGCTCCAGCAGCACATGTATGTTCTGAGGCGAATCCAGCAGCTTGAAGATGAGGTGAAGAGGGTCCAGAACAACAACACCTTACGCAAGTATGTTTTCATGCACATTCATCAGAAAATGAAGCTGCTACTTCTCTGTGCTGCTCATGGTATTTGGCTGCTAAAAAGGTCACTGCCTCACATCCATTTTCTATGGGAGGAAGATGATTTAGATCCTCTCCCATAAATGACAGCCTTGGCAACCCTGTGGTGGGGCAGTGAGCCATATTTAATTCAGAGATAGTGGCTTTAGGTTTTGATTTATGTTAGTGAGGAACTCTGGTAATACTTTATTTAGACCTACTCTTTAATACGGTTTACTGATAGTTGATACCATTAGCAGTGAATGGTTTCTGTGTGTATGATTCATTTCTGAACGGCAATGTCTTCCTGGTCAGAGAAGAGAAAATTGCGATCATGCGGGAGAAGCACACGGCTTTGATGAAGCCCATCGTGTTTGCACTGGAGCACGTGAGGAGCATCACTGCGGCCCCTGCAGAAACGCCACATGAAAAGTGGTTTCAGGACAACTATGGCGATGCAATTGAAAATGCCCTCGAAAAATTAAAGACACCGTCCAATCCTGCGAAGCCAGGAAGCAGCTGGATCCCCTTTAAAGAGGTATAGAAATAGTTCGTGAGTGCTACTAAAATGGAAACTTTCCTGTGAGATACCTAATTTAAGTAAGTGGACTCTCCTTTCTGGAAACACAAGAGAAGGTTTCCGAGGGCAGTCTATGATCGTTTGGTTACCAGGAATGCAGAGAAAGGTGTTTCCTTAATTTTGAATTTCTTAGGGGGGCTGTGTTGGGGAATGAGTGAGTGAGTGGGAGTGTGGTGTAGTCTTTCATGTGTAGAGGTTCATTGTGAGAAGTTCTCTGAGGACGGGACTTTGGCCTGGAATAGAAAGCTCATCATGTAAAAGATTAACAAGTTTCATCTCTGCCGATGCAGTCAGGATTTCTAGCAGACCACAAATACATCACAATTAGTTTTATACATATGAAGTTTGTTTTGAAATCACTTTTACGTAGGTGATTGTAAAAGATGAAGGCATTTAAATACCTTTGCTATTTTGGTCCCTGTAATTCTGTTTTTCCTTTGGATTTTGTCTTGTAGAAGTAGTTAGTTGAAAGAACATTTATATTACCTGGTAGCTTTTTCTTGCCTTTCTTCATTCTATTGTATCTATCCCTTATCTTTATTTCTTCTAATTAATTTCCTTCTTGTTGTTGTTAGGTGCCATAGAGTCATAGATGACTCATAGCGACCCTATGAACAAAAGGCCTGAGCACTATTCATAGAGTTTCCAGAGGCAAGCCATTTTGTAAGTGGATGCCACTCCTGCTTCCAAGCTTGTTTGAATGAGGAAGCTCCAGCAAACACTGTCCACCATGGGTAACCATGATCACATTTGGCACATCAGTGTCACAGTGTTCAGCATCACTGCAGCCACAAGTTACCTCTGTACAGCAATTACTGAACATAACAATGAGAAAACAAGACGTAGTGTAGAAAGTAATCTTGAACTGTCTTCTGTGTCAGTGGCTACATTCCAAACAACTAGCTAGAAGTATAGACAATAAAGTTTAGCATGAAGGGTGACGTTTCACTTTTTTGTGTGACTCAACCTCCCCTCCCGTTTCCTTGTAGTGGAGCACATGTATTGGTGCTTGGCTTTCTTAGTGCACCAGTAAAGAAGTGCAGAGGAAGAGACAGGAGAGAGAGACACACACACACATAGGACAAATTTTATGATGGTTAATAGATATTAAGGAGCTCTGGTGGCCTTGTGGCAAGGAGCTGCAACTACAATCCCAGAGGTGCATGGTTCGAATCCACCAGATGCTCTGCCTGGGAAGGAGGGACAATCTCCTCCTGTACCAGTCAGATCTGATTTGACGGTACACTCACACAAGTCCAGGCTGGGTTTAGAAGGGGTCGTGGTACTAGAGATATTGTAGCTGATGTTAGATGGATCTTGGCTGAAAGCAGGGAATACCAGAGGAATGTCTTATCTGTTTCATTGACTATGTAAAGGCATTTGACTGTATAGATCATAACAAACTATGATTGACTCTGAGAAGAATGGGAATCCCAGAACACTTGATCGTTCTAATGTGAAACTTATACTTGGACCAGGAGGCAGTCGTCAGAACAGAGCAAGGGAACACTGCATGGTTCAAAATTGGGAAGGGCGTACGCCAGGGATGCATCCTATCTCCATACCTTTTCAACCTATATGCAGAACAGATTATCCGGGAGGCTGGGCTCTATGGGGAGAAATGTGGGGTCAAGATTGGTGGACGATTTATCAACAATCTGCGTTATGCGGATGACACAACCCTGCTTGCTGAAACTGAAGAGGACCTGAAGCGCCTGCTGCAGAGTGTCAGGGACTGCAGCCTATAATATGGATTGAGGCTCAATGTCAAGAAGACAAAGATTCTCACCACTGGACCAAATGGCAGCATCAGGGTGGATGGTGAAGAGATTGAGATTGTACACAGCTTTAGTTTGCTTGGCTCCAGAGTCAACAGTCTTGGCACCAGCAGCCGGGAAATTAAAAGGTGCTTTGCCATGGGAAAGTCTGCTGTTAGGGACCTCTCCAGAGTACTGAAGAGCAATGGTGTCTCTCTGGAGACTAAGGTGCATCTGATACAGGCCATGGTCTTCGCAATCACTTGTTATGCATCAGAGAGTTGGACAGTGACCAGGGAGGATAGGAGAATTGATGCCTTTGAGCTGTGGTGCTGGAGAAGAGTATTGAGAATACCATGGACTGCTAGGAAAACAAACAGATTTTTCCTGGAAAGGGTTAAACCGGGTGGCTCCTTGGAGGCAAGGATTCTGAGGCTCCGTCTAACATACTTTGGACATGTTGTGAGGAGAGACCGGTCCTTAGAGAGGGACATCATGCTTGGGAGGGTGGAGGGACGGTGCAGGAGGGGAAGGCCCTCTATGAGGTGGATTGATTCAGTGACTGGGATAATTGGGATGGGAGTGTCGGAGACAGTGCGACTGGCCACAGGACAGAGCGGAGTTTAGGGCTGTTGTACATAGGGTCGCTATGGGTCGCAGGCGACTCGATGGCACATAACAACAACAACATAGATATTGAAAAGATAATTTTTAAAAACTATAAAATACCAGTTTTTGTTTTCATTTTTTAATTCATTGTTTGATTTTCTTTCCCCTCTTCCCTCTTAAAATACCTATAATTGGCTTTAGCTATAAGAGGAGGAAAGCAAAAAGATGTATAACAAGCTAAAAAAAGAAATTTGTAGAAGCCCCTTGTGTCTTTACCCACTGTCTTAGTTGTCTAATGCTGCTTCAACATGGATGGCTTTAATAAACAAACATGTATTCTCTTACAGACCCCTCACAAGGTGGACTGACACAGTGACACTAACAGTGTACCTGAGTGTATCTGAGACTGTGATGTGCTGAGTGGTGAACAGGGCAAGGTTTAGATCCGTTGTTCATAGGGTTCCTGTGCGTGGTAGGTGCCTCAGTGCACAGTTTAGAAGGCTGACAGGCCAAGCTCAAAAGATTCCAGCTCTAGAGGAAGGGCTGCTTTGTTGGTTCTGGAGGAAGTTTGTTTCCTTTAACATATCTAGACCCAGCCTTCCTTAGAGAGATGTCCATGTTTGCCTACCTTGATGTTAAGGAGCTTTTCAGCACCGGTGGAATTTGAGGGCTTCCCTCTCCCTCTTGGCTCCCATTTCCCCCTTTTTACTCTCTTGTGAAACTTGCCATAACCTCAGTACTGGGATGGGATAAAGGGGTGTTGTGGTTCACCCTTAATACTTTTACATCTACATAGTTTCACTTTTACATCTACATAGTTTCCACGTTACATACAACTACAGATTTCCAGCATATTACTAAGTACTTGTAATTTGAAGCACTGAAATTCAGTCTGTAACCTCCCCCCGAGACTGTTGTGAACTAATCAAGTATCAACTTTTTCAAAAGGTAGTTATGGTTTCGTAGATGTATTTAATATTAAAGTATTATTTAGTTTCTACCTGTTTTCTAAACTTTGTATAAATGAGCTGTGTGTGCGCATGTGTGTGTTGGGGAGGGATTAATAATTATTTTAGAATTAGCATTACTGTTTTTTAGTGATTCTGACTACATTTTGTGTGAAGGTGAAAATCCTAGTTTATCCATTGTGTCTAAGTCAGTGAAAATATGTGATCTCAGGTGTTGTCCTTATAAACAGAGCATGCTGAGCATGGCTTTATAAATTTTCATATGAAAGCAGTTTTGAGTTCACAGATTTGAGGCTAAAATAACACAGATTTGTTGATTCTCTTCCTTTTTTTTTTTTTTTTGTTGTTGTTGTTGATTCTCTTTTAAAAGAGATTTCTAAATCTACTTAACACGTTACTGCACACTGATGATGACCGCGCTTAGAAACATGTTTGTGGGGTTTGTTTTTTGGTTTTTTGTTTTTTTTTTTTTATGTATTACGTGTTAATTGAGATAAGAGTAGATTTGGCTGCTTTTTTCACATGGTTTAAGGTTAATAACTTTTCAGGCCCCTCCCTAGGGATGTACAATCCTATCATCTCGCTGTATCTTTTGTTTTATTGCAAGGGCTGATTTGACTTGTTATGATATTGTTTAACTGTAATAACGGAGAATTAATTTGATAAAAAGCCCTGAGTGTGGTCCCTAGTTTCCTTTATTCTGTGCTGATTTGATGATTTGCTTGGATAGAGGAAGGGTCTTAGCAAGTAGCAGTCTTCTAGTACATAAACACGGCAATGTTTACTCTCTCCTGTGATGACACAAAATATATGACATAAATAAATAATAGGAACTAGAGCCAACAGCTACCTTCAGTTTACTTTTATGCCAGATTATGGAATAAAATAAGTATTCTAATAATAATGAAAATTTGTATTTGCCTTCTTCTAGATAATGCTGAGTTTGCAGCAGAGAGCACAGAAACGGGCAAGTTACATCTTGCGTCTTGAAGAAATCAGTCCATGGCTGGCTGCCATGACAAACACAGAAATTGCTCTTCCTGGAGAAGTTTCAGCCAGAGACACTGTCACAATCCACAGTGTGGGGGGAACCATCACTATCTTACCCACTAAAACCAAGCCAAAGAAACTTCTCTTTTTAGGATCAGATGGGAAAAGTTATCCCTATCTTTTCAAAGGTAGGGTCTAAGAGTTAACCCTTTTCTTAAGAAGATGACTAGTCTCTTTATTAAAGCTTGCATGTTTAGAGGTTATAATTTTAGATACAATTCTGTATCATGACTTACCTGGTGTAGGTTCTCTATATTCCATGTGATTTTGAATGCCACTATTTGGGGGCTATAGCTACAAAGATTTTTCTTTGTGACCTTATAGAAACACGATCTAGGTATTAGATACTCTGTCACTCAGTAGGAGATTATGTAATGTCGTCATTGTAAGACTTGGAAAGTGATACATTCCCACCACTACCCCATCTGATCCCACCTCTGGTCACGTACTCTCTGTATTTTTCTTTTAATAGGATTGGAGGATTTACATCTGGATGAGAGAATAATGCAGTTTCTGTCAATTGTAAATACCATGTTTGCTACAATTAATCGCCAGGAAACACCTCGTTTCCATGCTCGACACTATTCTGTAACACCACTTGGAACAAGATCGGGATTAATCCAGTGGGTGGATGGAGCTGCACCCTTATTTGGACTTTACAAACGATGGCAGCAACGGGAAGCTGCCCTCCAAGCACAAAAGGTTTATTCAAATTAAATATGCATGTATTACTGTTTGAATGTTCTTAAACATATCATTGTTGCAATATATGAATTCTAGGCTTGCTACATTTACATAGATTTATAAATAATATAGAAGTCTTGAAAGACTTCTTTTTTCTATAAAAATGGCTTTATAGAAATAAGAGGTTGGAATGATGACATGTTGAACTTGGTAAAGACAGAGAGCTGATTACTAATTAACACAATAGCTTGATATTTCACCTTTTAGTGTTTTTATTGGGCTTACCATGAAAAAAATGTGGAAATTAGAGAGAATAGCCATAGTGTCTTAAGTACTTAGGAAATGGTAGACTTTGATGTAGACTAAGGGTTTAATCTAAAATTCATTCAGCCCTGTGAAGAGTGGGGGCATCATAGTTAAGACAGCATTATTTTGTTGTTGTTACTAACCTTCGAGTCAGATCTGACCCTACTACAGCAGGTTTTCAAAGGCAGTTAATTTAATGAAAGGAGATTGCTCATTGTTTTCCTGCACAGAAGCTGTTGAATTTGAACCACCTGCCTCTGGGTTGGCAGCACAAGTCAACTCCTTGTTCACTAGGCCTCCAGAGTCTCCTCCTCATGGATAGGCTACACACTCTGCACTTTCTTCCCAACCATGTGACAAAAGTCTAAAGGCAGTGGCCTAAGAAAGCCATTTTGAACAATAAACCCACTATACAGCACAGCCAAATGAATACTTTTATTATATGTCAGAAACTCTCCTAGACATAGCAAGGTAAATTTTACACAGTCTCAACTTCCTTACTCACATTGATGTAAGAAAATGTCTCTAATTAGGGTAGTGAATAAGGAGCAATAATTTGACAGGAGTTGCACGTGTAGACTTAGGAACTGCATTGTTTTGTTGTTGATTGCCTTTGAGTCAAGCATGATTCGTAGCAACTCTGTGAACAAAAGACCTGAAGCCCCTCTACAACTATCGACATTATCAAAATTCATAGAGTTTCCGGAGGCATATTATTTAGGAAGTGGATGCCACTCCTGTTTCCAAAAGGACTGCACTTAAACTGGTTAAGTGGAAAGTTGTATCTTGTATGCAGTCTGACACTAAAAAAGGTAGGCTCAGGAGACTGCAGAATAATTGCTAACGAATACATTATTACTGAAAAATAAGTTAACGTAGACTGTTTACACTTTTAGGTGTTTTGGAATATCTGGTTTTATATTGCTAAGTCTTAATGGCTGCAAAGTGTTACGTATGTGTATAAATGAATTAAAACTTTTAAAGGGAATGCTGTGTTATAAAAACTAATAATTAATGTTGACTTTTGACTTGAACCTCAAAATACAGCAGTAGATCAGTTTTTCACTCAAATAATGGAAAATGAAGCTCAAAAGAGCTTTGCTGTCTTTGGTGGTTGAGATTTGGTTCAGAATGGAAAACTCAGTTTTAGAATGGTACAGAGAAATAGTCTTGATTCTTATTTTAAGAACTTTTATATGTTTTTTTTAATAACTTTTATCTTGTAAAGGCCCAAGATTCCTACCAAACTCCTCAGAATCCTGGAATTGTTCCTCGTCCTAGTGAACTCTATTATAGTAAGATTGGTCCTGCTTTGAAAGCAGTTGGACTTAGTCTGGATGTGTCCCGCCGAGATTGGCCTCTTCATGTGATGAAAGCAGTGTTAGAGGAGTTAATGGAGGCCACCCCACCGAATCTTCTTGCCAAAGAGCTTTGGTCCTCTTGCACAACACCTGATGAATGGTGGAGAGTTACCCAGGTAAGTGTTTTGATCTTAGTTGTTGTTATATTAAGGACATTTTAGAGATCTGGAAGAGATCTAGGGAGACTGAAGAAAAATGGTCCTTTTCTTCATCTCGTAGTGCAGACTGGCGTGAGGACATGGTGATGGATGCAGGTTTGCTGCTCGAGTGCACTCTATGTTTTTAAATACGAGAGTGACGTTTGCCTCTTTGGGACATTGAGTCCTTCATAGAAGGGAGTTTTTTTGCCATCACTATTTAACACGCTCCCCTTTCCTTTTCAGTCTTACGCACGCTCTACTGCAGTCATGTCTATGGTTGGGTATATAATCGGCCTTGGAGACAGACATCTGGATAATGTTCTCATAGATATGACAACTGGGGAAGTCGTTCACATAGATTACAATGTTTGCTTTGAGAAAGGTAAAATTTAAGTGAATTTTTACTTTAGATACCGGTTAAATTTCTTTTTTTCTTCATGAATGGTAAACATGTAATCATCTATCTTTTCAAGGTAAAAGCCTTAGAGTTCCTGAGAAAGTGCCTTTTCGAATGACACAGAACATTGAAACCGCACTGGGTGTAACTGGAGTAGAAGGTGTTTTCAGGCTTTCTTGTGAGCAGGTATACCATTTTCTATCGCTAGTGTGCTTGTTAAATTGAAAAAAAAAAAAGGCATCTTAGAGGAAACCTTTATAATTTTTCTCAAACTAGGTCTTACATATTATGCGACGTGGCAGAGAGACTCTGCTGACCTTGTTGGAGGCATTTGTGTATGATCCCTTGGTTGACTGGACAGCGGGCGGTGAGGCTGGGTTTGCTGGTGCTGTCTACGGTGGGGGTGGCCAGCAGGCCGAGAGCAAGCAGAGCAAGAGGGAAATGGAACGAGAGATCACCCGCAGCCTCTTCTCTTCCCGAGTTGCTGAAATTAAGGTGAAGCAAATGATGTGATAATACGCTGTGATCAACTACTTGTTAGTGAATATGAGCATTAAAAACTTGAGCACAGTGACTTCCAAATGACATTTTTGTCAGATTCTAATGTGTAATATTGCAAGAATGATGTAATAATTCAGTAGTCTTTTTAGTATTACCTGTCACTGCACTAACACATGCAATTAAACTGTTTAGAAGATGTGCTAATGAATTGAAAAAGTTGTAAGTTTTTAAGTATGTTGGTATGTGGTTACCAATTAACTGCTTAAGTTTTCTTTACTTGGGTAGACATCTTCCTTCTTGGATTTTAAATATTTTGGTAGCGAGCAATGCTGATTTTGGTCTTAATGGAATTAAGTCTGTCAGTTTATGGTTATGTGAACTTGAATGCTTTTGTTAACTGCTGGGTAGCTTTGTCTGTAAGATAGGGTTTGATGAGGATTAAATAGAATAATATGTGCACGGAATGCCCTTCTAACATGATCTTTCTTACAGCCAGCTTTGTATCTCACAGTTGTCTCTGGAGGAGTCTTCCTAATAAATCCTTTTCACAGGTAAACTGGTTTAAGAACAGAGATGAGATGCTGGTTGTGCTCCCTAAACTGGACAGCAGCCTAGATGAGTACCTGAGCCTGCAAGAACAACTGACTGATGTGGAAAAGCTACAGGGCAAATTACTGGAGGAGATAGAGTTCCTAGAAGGAGCGGAAGATGTGGAGCATCCTTCTCACACTCTACAGCACAGGTTTTAAAGGAGTTTAATTTTCATTATTAAAAGTTACTAAAAATTACACCATTAGGAAGATGTTTTTTACAGAACTTCTGACTTGGATGAAAATGATTGTAAATTTGCCTAAATGACTTCAACTTTAAAAGTATTAGTAAATAATTCACTTAACATTTTCTGCCTTCTATTTAATTAAAATGCTTAAATGAATAGAGTGGATAGAACACTGAACTTAGATTCAGAAAACCGTAAGTTTTGGTTTTTCTCTGTAGTGCATATTAAAAAGTCCTTATCTTTTCAACAGTGACTTTTATCACATGAAATAGAGTGATTAGTTAGTTTTAGTAAGTGAACTTTGTACAGTAAATCTTAGTTGAATGTGCACATGCCAGGCATTGCATGGACTTTGAGACTCCAGAGATCTATAAAGCAGAAGTCTTTTACCCTTTCAGTACTTAAAGTCTCAGGTATAGCTGAGTTTTGGGTAAAATGCTGCTGTTAGAGAAGAAACAGAGAAATAAGGAACATTTGAACAAGGCAGCGAAAATGGAAAAGGAACATACCTGGTAGTTCTTAAGAGCAAAGTCAGGGTCATAAAGGTGCAGAAGGAACAACAATGATCCTTCGTGGCTGTTTTCCTCTCTGTCAGGTATTCTGAACACACTCAGCTACAGACCCAGCAGAGAGCTGTTCAAGAAGCAATACAGGTGAAGCTGAATGAATTTGACCAGTGGATCACACATTATCAAGCTGCATTCAATAATTTAGAAGCTACACAGCTTGCAAGTTTGCTTCAGGAAATAAGCACACAAATGGACCTTGGTATGGATTGACTTATTTTAGATACATGTGAGCATGTGAGTTCTGTAGCTTTGTGTTTATGTGTGGCGTTCTGTTTGCTTTGTGCTCCCTTTGAATGACTACTGACTTGGAATGGTTTCCCCATGATTAATACTGTTTTTTACCAAAAGGTCCCCCAAGCTATGTGCCAGCAACAGCTTTTCTGCAGAACGCTGGTCAGGCCCACTTGATAAGCCAGTGTGAGCAGCTGGAGGGTGAGGTTGGTGCTCTTCTGCAGCAGAGGCGCTCTGTGCTGCACGGCTGCCTGGAGCAGCTCCATCACTACGCGACCGTTGCGCTGCAGTATCCCAAGGCCATTTTTCAGAAGCATCGCATTGAGCAGTGGAAGACCTGGATGGAAGAGCTCATCTGTAACACCACCGTGGAGCGCTGCCAGGAGCTCTATAGGAAGTAAGGATCTGACCTTTTCTTACGGCATCTGGAAGTAAGCTGCTTGTTTTAAGTTTTTACTTGCATTTTTATTTTACTTTTCTGAAAAGGTTGATTCATTTGAAAGACATGACCATTGTCTTAATTTGAGGCAGATTTAAGCTTTCATTTTCCCTTACAACACAGTACGTTTTTCCTTATTAGAATGTGTCCCAATGTAAGCAGAGTCGGATTAGGTTAAGGAGCACTAACTTGGATGTTGATTTTGTTACTTCTAATGGGTCATCCTAGGAAGTTACAAGTTGTGTAAGCTCTTGAGATTTTCTTTCCTATAAAATGAGTCATGATTCCTACCTTTCAAGGTGGGAGGATCAAATGCAGTATTCTCTTTTATAGTGTTTTATAAAGCCTGAATTTTGTTTCCAAGCAGGATGGGTTATGTTTCAGCCTATCTGACATGTATGTGCCTCTTTATTTTTATAGATATGAAATACAGTATGCTCCCCAGCCACCGCCCACAGTGTGTCAGTTCATCACTGCCACAGAAATGACCCTGCAGCGGTACGCTGCAGACATAA